GCTAGCAAATTCATAGCTCCATTATGAGGTATACTAAGGTATTAACACTTGAAGTATTTTATCAGTATATCGCTCATATAAGTGTTACTATGGAGATTGCCTTAGTTCAGTGGGAGTTAGTGTTCAATGTATTCTTGAATGTTATAACTTCAGTTTTCTGCAAAATAAAGTTCATGGTTATGATTCATTATGAATCACTAAGGTTTTCTATTTTTGTGACTTTGTGTTGCATTTATGGATTGATCTCACTAAGGATTTAAAGTTGGACCAGTTGGAAATAGACATGATAAAGATCACATTGCATGTAATTTCCATGTCACTCACCATATTTGATCTATGTACTTGAGTGTACTAGTATGGTGATTTCCGGGGTTTAACCACGATTTGTAATGTGGTGAAAGTTGCGGTAGTTCCATTGCTAGTATATGAGATGGACCAGATTGTTTAAGGTAGTCTGGAGATGAATAGCATAAAGTTGCGCAACTAAGGAATTGATATAATTGCTCTGGAAATAATATGTAGTCCAAGTGGGAGATTGTTAGAAAATATTTAATTTCCTATATATAATCTAATTATGGGCAACATATTATATACAATTATATTAGCTATTCAACTAATTAATGGACTCAATTAAGTGATCTAAATAAAGTAGAGTCCATGGGCTACGTACATTGATATGGGCTGATTGAGTGCATACCTAATATTATTAGGGTTAAGTGATACTGGGTGGCCTACCCTAGTAGTATATAAATACCCTCTTGGTTATGGTCCCCAACATACTAAATTAAACATAGTTCTCTTTTCTCCCCATCTGAATTGAGAATGATGGTCCCATATGAGGAATAAGGTGATTTAGTTGAGGAAGGCCATAAAACCAACCCCGTTCATAATCGAGGACGTGTTCGTGATCCAGATCGTGTTCATGTCAACATTCATAGAGATGAGATCTGGAGATTGATGATAACGTATTACGCATCTAGAAACTCAATCTCAATGGATCAGGTATTTCTAATAATCTTTCAGATCTAGCACGATGTTGATTTCCTAGAATTAAAGCATGTTCTAGGATAATTCTCATTGAATTTATATTATGTGATTATAAATTTCAACACGCACAGCTAGGGGAACGTCCAGGGGTCCTCGGGAACTCCTTGGATCGTGGATGGTGGCCGGAAGTGGAGTAGGTTGCGGAGAGGGTTCGGCGTGGTCGCGGGTGATGATCGGTTGTCGAGTGCGGTGGATTTTTGATTGGACTTGGGGAGATTTCCTCTGATTTATGTGAAGGGGGAAGGGTTTTCTTCTGGAGTTTGAACATGGATTTAGAGAAAGGGAGAGATGGCTTTGGGAGAAAGAATTCGTGAATTTAAAAGAGATTAGGGAAGAGAAAGACCTACCTTCTTAGGAGATATTCTTAAGGCAAATATCAAGGAATTTTTGGAGTTGATTACACGGCATTAAGGCTAATGGACTTGGTCAAGAGTCAAGCTCAAAAACTTAACAACAATTTAAATTCAAGAATCAAAATGATCAACACATTTGAAAATTTAACGGGCGGGTTCGGTTTTGAGGAAAAAGGGACCAGTTCTATCCACTTAAAAAGGGTCGAAGGCCACTCAATAAGGGGATGGTCAAGTTGGTTCAGAGCTCGGTTCGCGAATGTTCCAAAATAAAATAAATCGGACAACAATTCAGGTTACGTGATTAAACCGAAAATTCGAACGACGAACGATAAATAAAATTGTACGACTTATATAATTATATTATCCACATAATAAAATAATTTTTAAGCACATAATATATATATATATCAATATTCTCACTTAGGAAATTAATCCACATAATAATAATAATGCCAATATAATAATATTCAAAAAAAAAATCCAAATATTCGAACGGGGCGTTACGAATATGGCTTTTAAAATAATTTCCGAGCTCTTAGTCAATAGATTGAAACATTGTTTGCCTTTTTGTATTAGTGATTCCCAAATTGCATTTGTAAGAGATAGACATATCCTAGACAATGCGGTAATAGCCCATGAGGTAGTTCACTTCCTTAATAGGCACATGAGTAGGAATAAATATTACATGAAAATCAAGTTTGATATGTCTAAAGCCTTTAATAGGGTTGAATGGGACTGTGTGAAGCTTACAATGCTCAAACTTGGTTTTCATGCTACTTTTGTGAAATGGAGTATTGCTTGCATTTCTTATTCTTGGTTCTCCTTTAATGTTAATGGCAATATCTCTAGTTTAATGAACCCTTGAAGAGGGGTTAGGCAAAGAGACCCTCTGCCTCATTACATTTTCATTTTTATCATTGAAATCCTCTCATACCTGATTAAAAAACAAAACCAAGTTGGTAACCTTATAGGCCTCAAAATCTGTAGAAATGGACCTGAGCTAACACACCTCTTCTTTACTGATGACACTTTGCTTTTGGCTCAAGCTGATGTTAACCAAGATCTTTTAATCCTTTTAATATTCATGGGAGATACAAACTGATATCTGGTCATATGGTTAACCTAGATAAATCATCGGTGTTCTTCAGCAAAAAAACCCCCACCTCTATCCAAAACTCCATTTTCCAGAACCTGATGGGGATAACCACTCACACCTCTTCTAATATCTAGGTCTCCCATTAGGCATTGAAAAATCAAAGGATGAAACCTTCCACTATATCCTTCAGAGTGTCCAAAACATAATTTTTAGTTAGAAAAATAGTTTTTTTGTCTCTTGCAGGTAAAGAAGTGCTCATAAAAGCTGTGGGAAATGCCTTACCAATCTATGCAATGTTCTGTTTCTCACTCCCAAAGACCCTTTGTCTGAAATTTTTTTAATCCTTTGCAAGATTTTGGTGGAACAAACCAAGCAACAAGCCCTCAATCCACTGAAAGTGTAATGCCCCAGTCATTTGTTGGATTTTCGGATATTTTTATTGGCATTATTATTATTTATTTTATGTAATTGCCAAAGTGATGTTATTGTTTGAATTATATATATATATATATATATATATATTGTCGGATTAATTATTTAATTTTTCGGATGTCGTATTTAATTTTTCCGAACGTCGTATATATATTATAGGATTTAATAAATCGAGCCCAAGAAGAACCCGGCTATGGCCCGTGCGCCCCGAACCCGCCTAGACCGACCCGCTCTTTCTTTTCCTTGTTGGGCAAGACTTCCAAGCCCTAAGTACTTTTTTTAAACGTTGCTTTCTTCTTCTCATTCCCATCTTCGCCGCAACAATAAATCTCATCTCTCTCTTGTAAATCCTCTCGATCTCTCCCTCTCGTCGTTTAAAAAAAAAGAGAAGAAGAAGGGAGAAGTCGTCTCTCCCGATCACTACCTTCGCTCGACCTTGCCGGCGCACCAGTCGCAGCACCCCTGCGAGCATCGGCGATCCATGCCATGGCGCACCAGCACACCGGCGACCCTTTCCTCCGCGCGCAGGACCACCTCCGACCGTGACTGCCGTGAACCGTGAAGAACCGGCGACCACCACCCTCTGTTCACGCACCAGCGCCATCACGCGAGCGAGACGCGCGACCCCTCGAGGCCACCCCGCGCGACTCACGACCCCGGACAGCCCCTCTTTCGATCGTTTTCACGTGTCTTTCCCGAGAACGGTACCCGATGGCTTGAACCCTATTATTTTATGCATGTATATGTGGTTGATATGGGAATATATGAGAGTTCTCTTATGATCTTATGTTAGGGTTATTTGAATTCATATGAATTGTGAATGGTCTATGATGTTTTGTGTTGAAATCGTGTTTAAGCATGTTAAACGTTAAACCGTCCCTCATTTAAGTGTGTAATGATGATTTTAAGAGATGCTTATGATGCTGTTATGATGAGATAGGGTGTTTAAGAATGCAGTTTTGGGGATATCATGTGATAAATAGCATATGTTTCGATTTTGCTGTCTCTGTTGTGCCTCTGTTGTAGCCCTCAAGAACTCGTTTATGAAGATATGATCTTCATATGAAATGTAGCTTATCCTGTTATATTTCAGTGGGCTTTGGAATTTTGAAAATCCGATTTAAATTGAGTGAGATATGATTTTTACAAAATAATTGCGCAAGCAGTTTTCAGTAAAACCCGGCAGCATGTATATATTGTATGTCTGGCATATTTTCGATGTCTGTATCTGCTCAAACTGAAAAGTGATCTGCATGAAAATTGCAGCCTTACTTCTTAGCAGTCTATTGGTTTTTGAATCATGTCATCTGGAGCTTTGTAGCATGAATTATATGATAATTACCGAGGTGCTGTAGGTATTATAAGTTGGTTTCTGGCAGTTTTTATGAACTGAATGTTTTATGTTTAAACTCGATGATAATATCATTATTTGCCAATGTGGTCTTCATCAAAGTTGTAGATACTTGAGTTAGCTGCCTTGTGGTTCTTGAATATCATTAAAAACATGTCTGTAGCTTCAGTTATCTTGCAATTACTAAAGTCCTGTCAGCTGTATAATTTCAATTGTTGACTGCAACTCTGTTATAAATGTTTATCTCCTAGTAGATGGCCTTATATGTTATCTATGTCTTCATAAGAGTTGTAGAGACATGTCTTAGGATTCATATGCAATTGGAATCATGTTTATATGACTTATGTGCTGTAAGTTGTGTTTATTTCAAAATCGCTGCGCGGGTTAAGTTTTGAAAAACTCATGTTGTGCTTTTGAAAATAAAATTTACTTTTTAATGCATGCTTATATGACTTATATGGGCTGAGTTAAACTAAGTGATGATGGTATGAACCTTAGATGCCTTAAGCTATGAAAATCCTTTTGTCGGATAGTTGTTTATAGGGCTATTTTGATTAATGTAGGTGCTTGACCAGTCGAGCTCGCCTTCCTATCAAATTTTTGTGCTTTTTCTACCACTTCGGTAACCAGTTGGGTTTATTTAAAATGCTATGTGATGAATTATTTATGCCTTGTTGTGATGGTATGATAAATGTATGCATGTGAACCATGTAGCTTGCCGATGTGTGTTGTTTCTGCCGTCGGTACGGTTGTCCTTGCGAGGCAAGTCTCCTTAAGTCCTGATAGGCTGTGTCCTTGCGTGGCATGTAAGCCCTATGAAAGGCCATGTCCTTGAGTGGCATGTACTCCCGCCATTAGGGTAATGAATCCCCTTTCCGCGGCTAATGATAGATGTGTACACAGGAGTAATGTTAAATTGTGTGTGAATAGGAGATGAAACATAGTTAATTGATTTATGTACATGCTGCAACCATACCTTCGTATTTGTTATGAATGATTTATTGCATAGTGGTGAGCACCACGGGTTCCAATTGTGCTCATCCCTACTTTTCTTTCACAGGTTGAGCAGGGGCAGGCATGACGGTGAAAGGACGAGGGGCTAGTCCTTGTTTATGTTTAATTGCTTCCGCATTTGATTTATGATCATGTTATTCGGGTCTTGTGAACCTTATGATTTGGTCTTCTCAGACATGTTAAATTATTTTTCAAACTTATCTTTTGAAATGTTGAGACATCTGGATTGTTTTGAAAACCCTATGATTTGGTACATTTCAATTTGAAATATGTTTGGTTGGATATTCATAATGGATGAGTTATTTGAATATCATGTGAAATGTTGTGCTTTGGGTTAATGAAAACCATGTGATAAGCCAGGTAATGAATCCCCGTAAGGTTTCAGTTGTGAATTGAAACAAGATAATGCCATGTTTAAATTAATTTCGAGAAATGAATTTCGAAAATGTTATCCTAATTTTTGAATAAGCCATGAATTATTTTTAAAATCAAAGTGCGGCGTTACAGGAAGTCTTGGAAATCTTTGGCTCTACCCAAAAGTCAAGGAGGCCTAGGCTTCATGGATATTCTTTTGCTCAACAAAGCCTTAATTGCCAAACTAATTTGGAGAGTTCTCACCAAATCCAACCTCCTTGTAAGCAAAGTTCTAAAAACCAAGTACTTTCATAATGAAAACTTGTTCTCTGTAGAAAAGAATAAACAAGGTTCATGGTTATTTAACAGTTTGTTGGAGGTTAGGGATAACTTTGCAGGAGGAACAAGATTTAAAATTAGAAACGGACAAAAGGTTAATATTTGGGACCACTCTTAGATTCCAAACCTGAAGGATTTCAAACCTTCCTCAGTCAACAGGGAACATTCTCTGCTTTTGTGGGTAAAAGATCTCATTGACTCAACTGGGAGGAATTGGAACTTGCATCTGCTTCAGCAAACCTTCTCAGTGAATGAAATTCAAGCCATCCTCGCCATTAAATCTCTTGATCCCTCAAAACCAGAAAGACTCATTTGGGAGTTCCTATTTTGCAAAACTGGTGGCTAAAAAGTGGAACCTTATGGATCAAGCTGAGAGCAGCAAGGAACAACATACCTCTCCTCAGGTCAGAACCAGAAGCTGGAGTCTTCATGTCAAATGGACGATCAAGCACTTCATTTAGAAATGTCTAGCTAACATCCTACCAGTGAGTTGCAATCTCCTCAAAAAAGGTGTAAATGTTGACAACGCCTACTCATGCTGTGGGGATGGCCCTCAGACTGTTAACCATTTGTTTTTCCTTTAACCAAGGGCCCAACTGGTCTGGAAGTTAGCTCATCTTACATGGGATGGCCTAAATCTGAAACCCATAACTTTAAGGGTTGGTGGACCAAAATGTGCTCTCTCAGCAAATCTGCAATCTCTGAAGCAAGAATACAACTCTCAACATACTTGCTTTGGTGGCTGTGGAAATTTAGAAATCTATGGCTCTTCCAAAGCACCTTAAGATCAGAAAAATCCATTGTGGATGTTGTTGTTGTTGATTGGTCTGAGTTTTGTAGCTTAGGTTGCTACTTTTGCTAGTGTTTGTTGTTGGGTGTTCTCTCAATTTGACAATCTTAGTTTTGTGTTGTTGCTTTGTTTTCTCTTTGAGTTCTTGTTGGGCTAGCAACTAGGTCCTTGGGTGCAGTTGTTGCTAGCCCTTTTAGTTTGCCTCTTCAACTCTTCTTATGATGTGGGCTGAAGTGGCCTGGAATTGGAGACTCGGGTTTTGGTTGTCTGTGCACTAGTCACTGCCAAAACCTCAATCTCTAGTCCCCCTTTTGTTTTGTTTTCTTATAAGACACATGTGGTTTTGTGTTTCTCTCTTTCATAGAAGTGTATTGAGCTACTTAGCTTCCGAACATTATATATATTTTTCATTGCTAAATTATATCTTCTACTGTTTCGAAAAAAAAAAAAAATCAAATCTATTATATTCGGAAAATTAGTCAGAGCATTGTCAATCTAATTGCCCTCACCCAAATGACGTGTAAGTTGTAACTCCATTTCTCATAGAGACATTAAATTGGGTCTTTTAAGTGAAACTCTCAAATCCGTGGAGGCGTGGATGCCTTCGAAAAAAACCTGAGGACTTCTTCCGGAGCGGGCGGTGTCAGGCATTAGATATTTTCTTCTCTCCACGCAACTCCTCGATATTGCCGATTTAGGTTTCATCTGCTTGTTGCTGGGAATTTGTGATTTGAGTTCGAATTAAATCAATTGAGAAAGTTTTCGAAATTTGAGAAATGGCTAATTCAGAGGAACAGAGCGGTGGACAGATCGACAACGTGGAACCCGCCGATCAAAGGTCAGACGGTGGGGATGCGGCCGATGCGTTTCCGGAGGACTCTGTCGCCGCTTCAGAGCCATCGGTCACGAGGAGGTTAACGGAGATATTTGTGGCGGATGGCGACGGGGATCTTCTCCTGCAGAGCACCGATCCAGAGGGCGGTTTTCTTCAGTGGTTTCGGGCTTTGGATATGCAGGTGGTGGGGGCTTGCAGGACGGATGAGAGGTTGAAGCCCTTACTGAAGCTTAACGTGTCGGCTGGAGTGGCTGAGGATGGTCTGCTAGCTCACCTGAGTCAGGTATCTACGATCAAAACAATTGAAAATGCTAGAGTGTGTGCGTTCATAATCTTTTCCAAGTCTCATCTTTGAATCCATTTCTAGATTTACGTTTCTTTATTGCTAATCTCTTTCATTTGTTTGAATCTTGAAAATTGCCGTGTTTCTTCGATGTGGTATGGTTTGGTGATTCAGAATGTGATTAGCATTCGTCTCTCTATCTCTCTCTCTTTTTGTGTGTATGTGTTTTTTTTAATACAATTATTCTGAAATTTGTGGACGCGACAATTCACCCTAGTTATGTGATTTCTGCCGTTGTTCATTTTGTTCAATTAACAGCACTTCGAACCTTCAGAAGTTGGTTTGCTAGCCAGGTGCTTGTGTGTACCTCTGGTTTCTATTCGAGTTGGAAAGATAGACAAGCAAGGGGCTCTCATGTATCCAACATCTATAAGGTAGCTGCGGCACACACTTTTATTTTTTGAGTATGTGGTTTTATGAAATCTTTTACTTTATAATTGGTTTTTTTGTCGGATTATAAAGGGTAGGTGAATTTAGGATGTGGTGAAAGAGGAAAAGAGGTTTGCAGTGATCAATCTTTAAATATTAGTAGTAGTCTTTCATCTAAATTTTTTGATCTCTCTTCTTAAGAATAGATACAATTTGCGAAATAGGTTGGCGCTTGGCTATTCTTAGAATTGAATTTTATATGTTTGGTATAATCCTAGAATGGGGCAGACTTGTTTGAATCTTTGATGACAACTAACTGCATGTGCCATATAACTTTCAAATGCAAATATTTATTTGTAACATCTGTGTTTATTTATTTATTTGTTTGTGTACTTTGAGCTCTTTTAAGAGTGTTTCACACTCTGTTGTTTACCTTTATTTTTCAGCTTTAAATTAGTTGAAATATGTAAAGCTAGTAGGGAGAAATGCTCTTAGTTCATATTCTTTCACTAGATGATTCCAACTTCACTTTTATTTTTCCTTAGGCTTTTGTTGCTGCTTTTAATGCAGGATTGTGTTTAAATTTGTGTTTAATTGCCTTCACTACTCTTTTCCGTTGTGGTATTATATTCTTGTTTTCGTGCTTTTGGGTTTCACCTTATAATCTTTATTTGTTGTATTGCTTGTAACAAATTTTCTTTATTATGTTCTGTAATTGGTGTGAACTGATGCTAGTTTCTTTTATAATGTTGATCAATGACAAATTATTAACATATTTGGCAACAATAAGATGATATATGTTTCCTTGGTTGGAGTAGAGTATTATATATTATAATACCTGACCCCTAATCTTGTTTAGGGTTCATGTTTTGAGTGTCTTATATATGAATTGCAGACATATGTTAATCTCCTCTTGATCGGCACCTACATGCGGGATTCTGTCTTAATCCCTGCTTGATATGACTGTTCATACGTAAGAGGTGCGTGTTACTTGTGAAGATAACTGGGAAGGTTGGTGTGGTCAATATGTTTGTCGTATTCATAACTGACAGTGAGAAAACAAAATATTCGTTTCACCTGATTCTCAGTATATGCATTTTAACATCACTTGTCATTGTGTAATATATAAATTCTTCTGCTGGTTCCCTAGTTAATACTTCATGATAGTGTTTCCTTCTTTTGTGATAGGCTATAGTCATATTTTATGCTTTGGTAATTTTGTCATGTTGAAGGTTACAGTTATCTATTCGTCGAGTATTTTATGATGCCTTGAAACTGTGCTTTTGGACTGTTAATGATCATCCTTTTCATCCTTCCAAGTGAATATCTCTCAACTTGTAGGTAAATTGGGCGATATCTATTATGATCTCTGAATTAAGACATATTAAAGGTAGCTTCATGCTCCTACGTTGATACATTATATTTTGCTTTTGTCTTCTAGCATTAAAATATTGTTTTCATTGTGTCTTGTTAATTTTGTGTTGTATTTACTTTCACATTTGCTTCCTATTGGCAAACCCAACAATTCTATCTTGAGATAGTTGATAGTTATTTGTGATATTATAATATCTGCTGAACTGAAAATTGAAAACTCAGGACTCGGAGATATATGTCCAAGGATTAAAATATTTCTGTATCTAATTTCTAGTTTACTAAGCATCAGTCCAAGCATGTCCAAGGATTAAAATATTTCTGTATCTAATTTCTAGTTTACTAAGCATCAGTCCAAGTTATAAATTTAACATGATTTGGGCAAGTTAAAGGTCATGTAAAATATATTAAAACTAATGATCATACTGTGTGATGTTTATTATAAATATTTGTTTATTATTATTTTGTTTATTTATATGTATTAAAATTAACGATCATATGTAGGCTATTGTTTATTTTCTCGTATGCTCTTGCAAGATGATTATCATAAGTTTAATCTAGTTATGTGGCAACTGAGACGATTCTAAGTGGCTAGCTAAGTCAGTTTCACTGTAAAGGCAACATGTGTAATTGAGAAGAGTACTATGTCTAATGTCGAGCCAATTTAGTGGCGAACCATGTGAGACATAATTATCCTGCTGTACATTGGATGAAATAATTAATTATGTTTTCCAAAGAAGTTATCAATCTAAAAACCAAAGAAGTTGTTAGTCTATAAACTTATGCATCCATTTAATAGATAACATCTTGGTGTCTTATACATGAAATGGGTTTTCATTTCTGAACAGACTTGCCTCAAATTATTAGTTAGGATTCAGGGAGAAAAGTGCATTAGTCTGCACCTTTGCCTTTCGTCAACTTCTTAAATTGTATGCGCCCATCTACTCTAGCTGATTGTTGTTTTTTGAACCTTTTGTTGACTATTTACAGAGGGAATTTATTTCTCACCCTTTTGCCAACTTCTGATTTGCGTGTATCATTTAATGGGGATGATGGCACCGTGGAGAGGCTGGCAACATTAGGCTCTGAGGTGCATTCTGGTGATTTAGTCATGGAAGAGATTTCTGCAGACAAGTCTGGAAGGTCTTTCTTAATAAAAACACCGGATAATATTGTTTCATATTTTTGGTGTTGTGAAAAATCAAAGCTTTTAGGGGATGAATTGCTTGCAAAGGTGAAAAAAAAGGATCAGGTTATTAGTGTTTCACATTTCACTTACGCAGTTGAATTTCTCTCTTTTAACATATATTGTTGTCTTCTTCCATAGATGAAAGATTTGGTGGTGAAAAAACCTTCGTTGGCTGCGTTAACTGGAATTAGTGAGTGGCGCCTCAGTTATTTTGCTACTCATCTTCGAGCATATCTTACTGATACCATGTTAAGTAGTGGTGAACCCAATGGCTTTCTCTCGGCAGATGACCCGACCAATTCTACAAAAGTCTGTTCATCATCAGCTCAATCTGTTTCCAATTTTCGGAAGAATTTGCGGCAGTATACCAGACAAGGGTCAAAGTCTAACCTGATCTATCTGGGTAGTCTGAGCCCCAAGTCAAGTTGTTTTAAGGAGGGCCTTCAAAAAAGTGGGTCTTCCCTGAGAAGTGGTGGCAGCAGAGAAAAACTGAGGCGCCGTGGAGAAAACTACATGGCATGTGTTGGCAGCCAATCAGTTAGTACAGTTGCTAAAAACAAAGTTGGCGAATTAAATATTTCAGAGAAATCAACAGTTGAAAAGCAAATACCTTGTTCATCTGGCAGTGGCAGCTTGTTGTCCCCTCAGTACTGCTGGTGCCCTCAGCTGCCAATAGGCGAGCCATTTTCCCTGCCCCCACTTTCTTCTCTGCTGTTATCATCATCATCAAAACCAAAACCAAAACCAAAACCAGTGGTGAACGTGGCCGATCTCCCACCTCTGGATTTTGGTGGTGTTGTGACCTCGATTTTCACGCCTCCGATTGTGCATGTTCCCGTCATTGATGTTGTGGCAACGAATGTGGAATCTGCGGTGGAGAAAGGTGCTCGGGAGACGCTGAGGATGCTTATCAATGGCAATGAGCAAAAGATTTTTTATAGTGGGGCAAGGGATGTGGTTACTAGTGTGTCTGCTACTGCTGCTACTACTGTGGGGCTCGTTTTCCTCGTTACAGATGATTGCCAGGAGCAGAAGAACCCTTCTGGGCCTGCTGATGAAGAGGGGGGCAGTTGATTTTTTTTTAGTATTTCAGCTCTTCTGTACATTTCTTTTTGGGTATATATGCTGGTGCTGGTTTCTTATGTTGAGACTTCTGGGTGTATTGTATGTCTTTTTTGGAAGTCATCAATTATTATTATTATTATTATTATTATTAAAGAAATTGAAAGTAAACAAATGTCCTGTTTGTTTTTCTATTACTTCTGTTGCTATGCTTTAATCGATGAAGTGTTTGTTTGATTTTGAGAGGGAAATGGTTGTGTAGGAGTGTGTATCGGTCAGCTTGGTTGAAATTATGGAAGGACTTCTCTTTAATCGATTGAATTACTGCCCAAAAACCAAACATTAACCGATCCAAAATAATAAGTCGGTTTGATTGGAAGATACACATCAATTCTCCATCGGTAGCCGATGGGCTTATGCTTCTCCATGAAGATTTTTCTGTTAAAACATAAGAAATTAGGGAGTAAATGGTTTAAACTTGTGTCCACAAAAAAAAACAAGAAGGCCAAAAAACACAATAATTTGAGAATATGGAGATGAAGGACGTCGGGGCTGCCCAAAGAGGGTGCCAAGGGTAATTGGGGTAAAATATATAGTACCCCCTTGTATTATACGAAATTTGCGCGTTTCCTCCCTATATTTTAAAAATTACGTCAAACGTCTAAGATGACGGAAGTGGCGTGCACGTGCGGTGCGGCTTTTTCTTCATTTCTTCAACCCAAAGTGGTAGAAATTACTGTTTTACCCTTGAATTATGTACAAAACCCAAATGTTATAAAATGTGAGCAAAGTGGTAGAAATTACTGTTTTACCCTTGAATTATGTGCAAAACCCAAATGTTATAAAATGTGAGCAACAAGATTTGAACCTAGGTTGGAAAGGAAGGGATTGAGCGCTCAACCACTAGGCCATATGGATGGATGTGCAATCTATTGAACATAAATATATCTATACATCATACTGAAATGAATTAAATAGTTTAAAAATAAGTAAATAAATAAAATAAAATAAAAGGACAATATGTCAATTTACTATAAATTAAATAATTAATAATAATATTACTAATAACTTCCAATAAATTAAATTAACTTAAAATAATGAAAAAAATTAAATTAAAATAAAGTAAGATAAAATTTAATGTATTAGCGTGAACTAAAATTAAATAAAGTTATAATTAAATAAATTTTAAATGAGAAAAATAAATACAAAAATGAAATTAATAAATATATAAAATTAAAATAAACTAATTATAGAAAAATAAAAATAATAATTATATAAGATAATAAAGTATAAAAATTATAAAGTAAAATAAATAATAAATCAAATATCTTATTAGGAAATAATAAATTAAATAAATAAAGAACTGAAATTAATATAATATAATATAATAAAAAATATTATTTATCAAATAATTTTAATATGATTTACTCTTAATAAATATATTACTATTTAATATAAAAACAAAATGATAATTTCATTTTAATAAATTAATAATATAAATGTAAAATAAATTGTAGTATAAAATTTCAATATACGTTTTAATGAATTGACGTAATATAATCTGTATAAATTATATTAAATATAATTTATAATAAAATTAAATGATTAATTTAAATAATTAAATTTATAATAAAATTAAATGATAAATTAAATTAAATTAAATTTGTAATAAAATTAAATGATACTTATATATATAATATATTATTAAAGTATAATTTCGAAAATAAAATATTTTTTATTAAATAGCTATATATGATTTGTATTTATTTATTTTAATTATTTTTATACTATTTAATATTTTTTAAAATCTTTTATAAATATATAGATTTACTTAATTATTATATTATTTATTATTTAACTACAATTTTTTATATTTATTTATATTTTATTTTAATTTTTTTCGTATAACATAATAAGTTATTTAAATTATTTTTTTCGTTTAATTTTATATAGATTACTTTATTATATTTGAATTATCATAACTTTATATTTTAATAATTTAATTTAATATAATTTATATATTCTAAATTTAATTTCACTTATCCATAACAATGTCCATATATATCAAACATTCCTAGTTTTAACACTCAACCTTGAGTGGTGTAGTGGTTGCATTGTTTGTCTTGCTTCCATGAGGTACCAGGTTCGAATCCTAAGGACTGCAATTTTTTTTAATTCAATATATCGCGATATATTTAATATATCGAAAATATATGTATAATATTCAGAGGGTATAACGGATTCAATATATCGCAAATATATGTATAATATTCAGAGGGTATAACGGAACTTTTGAAGAAAAATTAACGCCGTTAACGGAGAAATAGAGACAAGGGAGCGTGTGCAACTGAAACCTTAATAGAAGGGGGTCTGACTCAATTTTTAAAATACAAGAGGAAAACGCGCAGATTTAATATAATACAGAGGGGGTTTGGTGCATTAAACCCAGGGTAATTGCATGCGCGGGTGAGGCTTCTTTCGCCATCCTCATTTGCTAAAACAAGTATTTTGGAAAGAGAGGCAGAGATCATGTTACTTGATAACTAGTTTTATCCCGTGCATTTGCACGAAAACTGATATAATAGAAGATAAATTAATTCAAAATTATGGATTAAAATAAAAATCATAACTTAATAAATGAGGAAGAAACTAATTTAAAAATATGAATTTGAATATTATTAAACACTTTTTTTATATACAAATTCGTGGTTTTCTTATCGTCATAATCTTCATCACAACAAATCATTATCGTTAACCTTCGACTCGTGACTGTGTGATTTAAATTCTTAAAATATTTGTTGTATCTTTGTAATATCTGAAAAAATATTTTTTTTATTATTGTATGACTGCAATAGAAAATAGAGATATTTGTAGTCATTATTAATTAGTTGTGAAATATGTATTTATATAATACAAAAATATATATAGTATAAAAATAAAAACAAAACTATTTTGTATTTCAAGCCATAAAAGGACGTTACAAAAATTGGCACCATCCAAAATGGGACCTATCAAAATAAATCGTGTAACTGGAAGTTACATATTTTTATTAAATGGTGAACTTATTTTTATTAAATGAACACATATTTTTATTAAATGAACTACTATTATTATTAATTATTGGCTGAATAAAATTTATTTAAACTTGCCAGCAATTATATATATATAGATTTTTATGGGGTGGGTTGGGCATTATTCCATGTTTGAGATCTAATTTATGAAAGATTTGAGTTTTCTTGTCCGTGTAAGTTGGTTGGCAGACTAGTTTGTATATAGGGTAGTTTTCTTGTGTCAGATTGAGATGTGTTATCCCTGCATCTGTAATTTATGTGTGTGTGTGTTGGGCTAGTTAGTCCTTCGGTTGTACTTTGTTCTATTTGATTTTAATGAGAAGTGGATCATCTTTCGAAAAAAAAAGGGGGTTGAATGGTGTAGACGACACCATAACTTATGATCAAGGTAATTTTTCATATATAATATGAATTATAATTTATTGAATTATTAATTCCATTGGTTCGTTATTTTAGTTTTCATAAAGGTAACACGTTATCAACATGAGTTTCTTGTTCTATCCTTTATGTGCTAACCGCTCTCGTGAAAAAAAAAAAAATCCGCTCTCGTTGAAAAAATGTGTAAGTTTTTGCCAATCCAATATAGAATTTTATAATAATCCAATTTCGCTTGATTCCTTCCTTATTGGCGTAGCGGAAAAGCCTGCACAACTCTAAATTTAAAGGAAGACTGGAGGATATTCTGAAATTGACAATTCTGAGAGGGGTTGTCGATCTCTGACCGAGAATGCAGAATTGTCCAATGCTAACTTGCACCCAAAGATGGACGACACACCCATGGAGCTAGGTGACACATTGGTTTAGTTTGATTCTTCGATAATTGCATTTATGTTAAGCTTCATAAGTATCTTTGTCGATTTTAGTATTTTACCCAGTCAAGGGTATGATGGGTGTTCCCCCACCTCACAAATGGAAATCCATGGGTAGGATTGATAAACTGAGGAAATAGAAGAGAAGGGTTCAACCATGCAAGATGACGCGTCTATTATCTAGGGGATGACATCGCCAACTCCTTGAGGAACTGTTGTGGGATCGCCGCAAGGGACCAAAGGGAGAAAGATTAGTATGAGGCGTAGATCGTCGGGTGCGTCCGGGGAGGCTGCAAGGATATCGAAACGACCGAGGAGAGAGAGTCTGCCATTCGTGATCGTTCACCTACTCTGCCAATCGTTATAGAAGAAGACATCGACGAACAACTAGTTCGCCCGCCGAGACAGAGAGAGAGAGAGAGAGAGAGAGAGAGAGAGAGAGGGAGAGAGAGAAAGGGAGAGAGAGAGAGAGAGATATGGTCATGAAGGAGGTGAATGTCGAGTATGAGAAAGATCACCCGGACCCGATCGTCAGAGAGTCGATTGACCACGAACAAACTCCGATTGTAGATCTGATTCAACCGAAGCAGACGCCAAGGAATTAAGTCGAACAGACGATCCCCCAACAACCCAAGCTTCCTCCTAGAGACAAGGCCAAAGGATCAGCTTCTCAGGTTCCGTCTATTGGTTATCTTTCTCGCGATCTCACAAAAAAAGGGTCGTTGTTTGTCCCATTTTTGTTGCGTTTTTCGTTGTTATTTTGTCCCTCATATTGAGTCATTTAGATGGTTATAGGATCATTTTGTCATTTATTATGTGTTTTGCGTTCATTTGAGTGTTGCGATGTTTTCCGTTTGTTTTACGGTCTTCTTTTTTTGTTCTCTTCGTTTTTGGTGTGTAGTTTTGAAGACCTCGGGAGAACAGGTTTTCGAGAATCTTGTGGGGAAGCTGACACCATTAGATAGAAGGGTTCGTTAGCGACACGTAGGAAAAAACGGAACTCAATTCTGAGTTAAAACGAACCCGAACGAGCAAAAATCGTAAGATGGTGCAGTGCAGATTTTGGTCTCCGCGGCCGCGGCCGCGGCGAAGAAAAGCTGCCAGGTCCCAAATTTCAGCAATGAAAATCCCGCTGCCGCGGAGGATTGGTCGCGGCCGCAGAGGTCGCGACGTGCAGAAAAATAAATATTGATTTCAGATCAGAATTTCGGGAGTTTTTGATCATTCTCTCGGCTCCAGAAACGAAAAAGCCCTACCTTCGTCC